GCTTGCTATGTCCCCCCCCAGCGGCAGCCGAGCTGCATGTTCAGGGAGGTTTGTGTTTGCTTCATGTGGAGCAACTCGTGAAGCCCGAACTGGAAAGCATGTATTTACCAGCTCCTACACAAATAACGCCAAAATTTTGAGGAAAAAAAAATGAGGCAAATGTGTAAGTTTGCTTAACAGGTCAGAGCAATGGTGCAAAGAGCTGAGCTTGGAAGATTTCAGCACTGATCCCCCAGCCTCAGCTGATCCAGATCTAAACCTTAAACTGAAACCACTCAGTTTCTTCCCTTCCAAAGCCAGCTTTTGCTAAGTTGTTCCCTACAAACAATTATTTCAATTATCATTCAGGGGACCTATAACAAGTGCCACAAAACAGGCAACTATAATTTGTTCAAAAAAATTAGCAGACCATCAAGCTACAACTGCGGTCACAGTTTGTCTGAGATTAAGTTCCTAAAATGTTCAACTCGGGCATGAACTCTATATAGCTATTACAGCACTGATCTGTGAGGTCCTTACATATTTTTGAAGACATTTCAAACTAACAAATGCCATCCCTCGAAACCCTGCAATAGATTCTTGTGTGATTTGGTCAGACCAGTTTCAACAGCCACTGCAGAAGCCCACACAGAAAACGAGTTATTGCCTGAGACTGGATAAAGTAGCGACTGCTCAAGAGGAGTGCTGTGAGTACCGATAAAGGCAGTCATATCCTTGCTGTTACCTAGCCCTCTCACTTCCTCTGGCTAATATTTAAATGCTAAATTGTATTATCTCTGACGTAGCAAATATTATCTATTTGTTTGTACGAACACTGTTGGAGCCCTTGTTTTGATACTTAGTCATTGCTGAGGTGGAAATAAGCAACAGGAGATGAAATTCTAAGTGAACAAAATTATCTATGTATGACTCAAAATTGTAAAAGGGAAGTGGATAAATAGAAGGTATGAACATACCTATAAATATATGTATAATATAGGTGTGTGTGACAGGGTATATATAGAAAGATCACCCTGTTTTTGTCAAACAAGGACTTCATTTCTTTCATGCCCCTCTCCCCCAAGCTCTAATTTTACCCAGGTGGTCATGAACAAGCACTGAATAAAGGCTGCCTCTAAAACTTCAGTAAATTCTACAAAAACAAATAGCAGAGAATGTTTAATTTCTTCCTAAGGTGTTTACAGATATGATGGGGGTTTTTGCAGATGTTGATGATGTTTCTGATTTAGGAGGTGCTGTTCAGAAATTATTCTAATTATATCCAATATAGGCCTGTGAGGAGGAGAACCTGGTGACTAGAAAGAAGTTTGAGTTCTTGCAGCCAAGCCAGCTAGTCCATCTCACCACCTTCTCCTGTGGATGGGGGATTTTAATGGCTTTGATTCTGAACTCTGTGTGGTCTCTACACTGTGAAGCGACATAAGCATAGATTACAAACTCTGTAACTTACAGATACGGTAAAACCGTCTATTTAAAATGGTAATGCCACTACAAAACTTGCCTGTCTGTCTCTTTTCCTTCATGCACTTGTGCTATGTGGCCCAAGTAGCATCTTTGCATGAGAGAGTAACCACAGGTGCCTGATACAAACCGTACTGACCAGGGAGGTGTGTTTCTGTAGCCCTGAGTCTCCTTTCCAAGCCATTTTAGGTCAGACAGTGGGATGGGAGTTACAGGGTGTTTGTAGCTGTCACTCTACACTACTCTGCTCCTTTTTAACAAACTATAAACCTGTTGTCACAGTATGTTTCCTGTGTTTAGAAACAGATGCTTGCTGGAACACATGAGCTAAAACCTCCAGTTACTCGATAGTGATTTAGACTCATTGGAGTAGAAAAATCTCCCTGGGTGGGCACACAGTGGTTGGCTGCAGCCTTCTTTGCATTATGGGGGGAAGCAAGAAACCGTTCCACCTACAAGCCAATGTCCACAGACCCCTTACCTGGCAATAGACCCAACGGGCTCGAGCAGCTCACACGCAACACAGCGTAAAGGTGACTGCATAGCTTTGGAGCCACTTTGCAACTGGGTTTGTTGCCACGTTTACAGAATACCGCCTCTGAGCTCAGATACTCCCCGAGAGACTGGTGCTGGCTTCCAGCTGGGAATGCCCTGCAGACACGCAGGCAGAACTGCCTGCCTCGGGATAGTCTGACGGGGGGGTTCGGTCTGGCTCCGTGCTTGTGTGACGCTGTGACTGTGCTAAATAATCCCTCTCCGCCTTAAATGGGAACAAAATGACCTGGTCAGATTGTACAGGAGGCAGCAAGGTACATCCAATAATCAGGTAAGAATTGTTCATTACAGGATCTGCTGCCTGTATTAGAACAAAAATCTGTCTTCTCTATATGGCAGCTACTGTACTAATGCATATAGGCAACCAGTAGTTAGTGTTCTCTCTTTTATGGTGTATTTAAAATATCAGTGCTCTGACATTCATGTCTAACTCCAAATAAGCTAGCTACAAGCTGGGATTTCAGCGGCTTCTGTGAAGCGCTTTAGATTGCATGGATCTAAATTGAACATACCCAGATTTCCTTCATCAAGTTGAGTATAATGGGAAGACAATCATCAGAAAGGTGACAGTTACTGACGGCCATCTGGCACGCAATGAAAAGGAAAGTAACGAATCTGCTTCCTTACTTTCCCTTTCACACTTTTCCATTTAGATAAGAAAATTCTTATACACCTCTCTGTATGGGAGGAGTAACAGGTGTCTTTTGTCATGAAATCAGATGTAGGAACATATAGCTCCATATATATAGGCTATGCCTTAATGCAAACTCTTCTGTCCCATTAATAAGACCCCCATTGTTAACAATAACTCAGCCCCTGATTGTAACAACTAGGACAACCTTATACTGATAGAAAACACTATTGAAATGTTGTGCATTCTCACATTCTGTAATCCATAGTTCTGTTCTTGAAAAGAAACTACTTGGAAAAGCAAGAGGTGGTGTTCAGCATTCATTTGGGGAGTTATACTGAATACAAGTAGCTGTTTGTACCCACAGAGGATCGGGAATGGCAAGATGGGAAAGAAGTTAAATTCACTGGGATACAATGCGGAATGAAAATATTTTTCCCAGTGTTTCATAATAATCTTTCTGGAGCAACAAAACCTTTAATTTGCATCATCAAGACAAGCAGTTAAGAGGAAGAGGCCCAAGTAGACATGAGGTGTGAGAAATTAGGCCAGGTCTGGGAACTAGCCTTTGACGAGGTCTTGTCTCTAAAATGCACGCACAACTGTAATAAATTTCCCAAGTTCTCACTATTGTATACAAGTGAAGGAAAGTAAGAGAAATATTGTTCTCAGTTCCTATCTATATCGATCAAGAACACATGAGGCAAAAATACAACTAAGGCAGAACTTTATTTATTTTTTTTGGTAGAAAGAAAAATGAAGCAGTCATAATTAAGCAGTATTTTCTGTGTTTCTTCTGCAGCAGAACCTTCACCAAGCCTCATTAAACTGGCAGTCTTACTCAGTGCATCTTATTTTCAAGTAAAGCAAAAATACCAAATGAGATTACCAATGGCTATTTGGAATATTTCTTCTGACCATGACACCTGAACGTCCATTAAAGGGGGATAACAGCCACTGCTATTTTTAATAACCCACTTCTTATGCTCTATCAACTGTATCAATCCTTTTTCCAGTTGCCACCCCACTTATTTTTTTCACCTTGCGCAATCCCAACTATCAGTGAAACTACTGCATTTTTTTCAGTCCCACAACTCAGCTCTTGGATGCTGGCACCTAGTTCAGAAACTGCTGTCCTAACGTTAATTATACATTTGAAGGTCGGTACAACATACACATACATCTTCACACTACACCTGCCTGTTAGGCAAATGCGATATTACAGTATTAATTTTATTTGCACTTAGGTAAAAGCGGAACTCTATCTGACTGCAAAGCAAGAGGTTTTGAACAGTATTGTGAATTACACGTACACACGTTCCTTCTGTAGTCTCATACTAGCTATATGTATACACAATTTAAGCAATGAAATGTTTTTAGCTTGTTCTTTGTACAGGACACTTACTACGTGCCCTAGTAGTCAGTTATCTGGAAAAAAAAAGAAAAATAAACCAAACAAAACTGCTTAATAGTGCTTTAATATTCATTTGTTAAAACCCAAAACAGCCTTACGGTAGCTGTTAGGTAGTTACCAGTCTTTTCCAAGGACATGCAGTAATAAAGAAAAAATTCTATCCTTAAGCAGCATCTGAGAAAACAACTTAATGTAGCTGCCACTTAGTGGCAGCAATCATTTAGGCATTTTTGGTATCGACACATCTCTTTATCATATAATTTGTGCATTAATCAACAAAAACATAGGCCCCAATCCAGCAAATACTTGCATGTGTGCAAATGCTTTTCTTCCACGTGGAATATTTCAAGTTAAGACTCATCAGATGAGCAAAGTTAAGAACTTGCATAAATCTTTACAGGAGGGGAATTCTTAGTGCTTAAAACTTAACTCTGTTATTTCATAGGACTAAGATCCAATTCTAGACTTAGAGAACGTAGGAAACGCTCCTATAAAGAACAGATACGTTGCTTTAAGATACATGCTTTCAAAGCCAACAAGAGCCTGTAGAAATACATGTGCCTTCTCTCCGGACACTTTAATCCTACTCGGGAGTAATGTGGATCCAGTCTAATTGTCTAATAGCTCCTGGCTACTGCATGAGGAATCAATAAAGTGCTTGTCACAAATTCCGCAGTCGTGGAATAAAATCAAATTTAAGTACCTTCAGGATGTTTTCAGATTTGTAAACTATGAATTAAGGTCTGATGTCTGATCCCCAGCATGTTTCCCTGAATCAGTAACAAATATTATGTTCTTCATTCAGAAGATAAATTAGAATTCTGCTAGGACTAGGTATATTTCACCTTTGTCCCAGTCAAGTCATCCTCTGCCTCCAGGGGAAAAGCTTAACTGGATTTTATTTCAATGTAAATGTTCATGCTTGACCAAAATGCGACGGCAATTTCACAAGCACCAGCATTCAATGTGACAGTTAGCTTTGTTTAATCAAACATGAAGCACCAGTATTGCTTACAGTATATCCACTCTGCATTGTGTTCATAATTTGTTCCCAAATGCACCATAATCCCAAGAGATCTTGCTTGCCCTTTCCTTTGATTTGATGTGTTTTGTCCCTCTTGAATAAAGTATCTTTGATATTAGCTTTGATATAAATTGTATTGATCTTTGTGGCATCTTCTCATTAACATACTTCTGAATATTTAAATTACTAGAACTTTCTCTTTAGATAGATACATATTTATATTTTAATTTTTTTGCTAGCTTTCAGATAATTAATCTATGAGAACTGGCTTAGACTGTACGCACTCTGCAGAGAACTTCTGTATGCTCCTCATACAAAAACAAATAATGGTTTGAAATATTTAGCCATGTGTTTGGATGAATTTTTTTTTTTTTAAAGGCTTCGGTGTTGCTTATATTTATCTTCCAGTCAGCTACAGGATAATAGCAACAGCAAACACATTGACAATGCAGTTCATTGTTCGGTTTTCCCATCTCACTGTGCAGGTTCCTAGAAGAGATTAGGACAAAATAAAAACAGAATTCCAGTGTCTTTACTACATTCACTTTATCGCAGCGTAAATCACAGCAAATTAGTATGAATAATTCAGCTGTGATTTAAGGTAAGTACTGTTATGTCATCTTGGCTATAAATAGACTACACTCCTCAAAACATTTTCATTAACTTGTACATTGTTTATTACCTAACATGAGCCTTGTATGCTTATGACAATTTCCAGGCAAGCACAATTTCATTATCTCTCTTTAAAAGCTGGACGTGCAAAAATCCTTGAAAATCTCATACTGAAATTGGCAAGATAATTAGACAAGAAATCAGAAAAAGGACTAGATCAAACACATTCTAGTGTGTTTACTTTCTGTAATTTTTCCTCTTCTATTGTATCAATGCCTCACAAGCCAAGGAAACATGAAGATTTAACTGTACTTGTTTACTTAACTTCACTTTATGATTTTTTTTTAACCTTGTTGACTTTCTAATGCCATCTCTATTTTAAAGTTAAATTTTAGTGCCCTCTTCTAAAAAGACCTTTCTGAGTCTGTGACAGACATAAGATTATTTTAATCTTCTTTCCCCATGATACTCTGAGCCTAAGAAAAAAATGCATTTAGAACTCATTTAGAAGAAATAAAATGCATCCAAAGCCTGGCTGATAGTTAAGCAACTGGAATACATACTGTTAGTCAAACTATTTCTATTTTTCACCAAGTTCTGTTCTCCTCCAAAGCAGCGCTATCCCCTTACAGCGGACAGGCAGATATGTCTAGGACTAGCCACTTGCATTTATTGCAAGCAACATTTTACTGCCTCTTCAACTGATCTATGGCTACTGATGAGGATTAAAAGTTTTGACTCTTGTTTCAGAATGAAGGCATTTCTACTCCTGCTTCTCATAATTTACAAAGCAATCGCTCCTAATGCAGGCACTGACTGCTAACAAAATATTTCTGCTGGGATCGTAAACAAGCATCTAATCCTGGAAGCTACTGCTTCTACAATTACTCTTGAAAATGTTCAACCTAACTATGACAACTGAGCAACGAGTAACATTTCTTTAGCTACAAATTTTTAATTTGACTGAGGAAACTTACCATCAGTTGTGGTATCCCAGAAGCACGAGCTTGCTGTGTGAAGACCAGCTCCACTCCTCTGCATCACCGCGCAGGTTACTGCAAGATACAGTGATAAAATGAAGGAATTAATTATTAAAGCAGAAGAGGTGAATCATCCAGGACTTCTGAACTCAAGCCTGCATTATGTTTTCAAATGGCTGGCAGGCAGCACTCAGCAAAGTCAAAACCTTTTTTGACTACCCCCTCGCCCCCAGGATTTTCCTCAAGAACATGGTATTCATTTCATGATTATTTTTACTCGCGTAGAGACAACGGCTTTAACAAAATGCTTGCTAATAGGATTATGGTTTTTATCTTTTAAACTACTTAGATATGGCTTGTGTCATGTGCACCTCAGAATGGGATTGTAGGTGCTGTCCTTACAGGTACAGCAGAAGTCACACTTGATGAGAGCTTTTCCCCAGGAGTACTGGCTGACTGCTCTCTGAAACCACACCCTAATAACATGCAGCATTTCTAGACTGACCTGCCACGGTCGTAAAACCAGCGACAATCTGAATCCAAGACTTTCAAAACAGAACAGAGTGCCAACATTTGCTATTACATCAACACTCCACATATGGACCAAAGTGGGTTAAAATTCTACTGATTTCCATTGCCCTTCCACAGATACACATATAAATATAATAGGACACAATTAAAGTCTTTCAAATGCCTGTATTTATAGGAAGCTTAATCCTACTAAAAATTTGATTTAAGATAAACAGAATCCATTTCCTAAACTGGTATCAAAAAGTTGATACAATAGTTTTGAGTTGCTTAACTGTCAGGAAAGACTGTGTAACATGTCACCTCCTGTACTAAGTTTTGCTACCACGCTTAGCCCAAGTGAAACTGCCATGGTTTTACCGCAGGTATTCCTAAAAATCTATATAAACAGAAGAGTTCAGGTATCTGCTCTGCTTTGCTTACAGTTTAAAACTTTCTACTGAATATAGCACTACATTCAGATGAACCTTTCAGCAATTATTTACTGTGATTGTATGTGGTAGAAGTATGACTGCTGGTACTTACCGATGTACTTGTATGTTTTTCCAAGTTTTACCAGATGTGTCAGCGACTGTTCTACTATAGCAGCGGTCCACTGGTTGACTTTGTTGTGATTATAATCTGCCTTGCCTAAAACACTTTCTATGCACTAAAATAGAGAAAAAAAAAATAGTTACAGTAAACATACCTCAAAATGTAGAGGTTTAAAATGTCTCGCACAATCTGAGGAATTTTATCTGGCAATTCGATTACTTTAAATCACTTGAGCCCATCAGGTATCAGTTGCTGAATGGGAAGTAAAATGAGCCTTCTTGGAAACTTATATTTAGTACATATTTACTACATTATTACATGGAGAAAAACGAGGTTCTGACTGAACATTTCTTGTAGGAAAGACCTTAGCCATATGCTTTAAGTACCAAGTTAAGTGAATGGATCTATTTACCAGTGAAGATACTAACACACCCCACTGTTCCTAATGACTGCCTACTCCAGCTTGGCTTTCAGAAGCTACTGTAATGGAAATGGTACTACTCGAATCAATAACGTCAGCTTGGGCTGGCCAACCTTTCAGAGCCTGCGAGCAACATACCAAAATCTTCAGAACTAGAGTGACAATAGTGAAATGCATACCCCAGCTTAAAAGATGAGGAAGATATGAGAGTGAGATACTCAAGGTCATATCTTACAGCACAAGAAATATCTTAACTGCTTGGAAACGGCATGTTCTCCCACAGCGACAGATTGGCCAACCCTTGCTTAAACTTAAAATGATTGAACAGAAAGCCTTCTCTCTCACTGTAACTCTTAAACTGCATTCTCTAATCCTAAGAAATTCAGAATTATGTGCTGATGGATACTTCTTAAAATTGAGAAATTCAGTTAAGAAATGCACACCTGGCAAAGGTAAATAAAATAAAACTACGTTCTCCTCTGGTTCAGTAAGATGAATCCCACACACTAACCACCCACTAACAGGCTGTGTAAAAGACTCGTGCCCCAGATCTTAAAAAGCCCAGTTAGTTCTGATCACAGCATATAATGCTGGACAAAGGACTCAATGGAAACAAACATTCACAGAACAGAATAGAAAAGCAAAGAGGGACAAAAAGGTCCCTTGGGGATTTTGGTCCTTCCAGAAATGGACCCATTGCCACAACTCCTCGGGTCTGGTTAAGCTTTCAATCACAGGCAGAAACACTTGGCTTTACTCCCAGAGCCTGGTGTGAAAGTAAAGAGACTCTGTCATACCATATTTGGCCTTTCAAGGCAGGGACAGTTATATAAAGGGTTGAATTGTCATTTATCTGACATCCAAGAGCTTGCTGTTGTGTACTGGAGCAGCTCTAAAAGTCCAGCGCTTCCCCTTCCAGACAGGGCAGGTGGGAAAGGACCTGCCAAGCCCCTCTAGGGATCCCTGTCTCAAAATGGTATTTCCCTGCAAAACCTGACAGCATCTGTATGCCACAGGCTCTTCATTAATCACTTTCCAGTTACTAGGTATTTAATTTAGACCATCAAGCTACTCACTTTCAGCCTGCTCTTTCTGCGTAAAAACTGGTTTTCAAAAGCATTGCTAGAATAACGAGCTTATGTAGTGCAACCTCCTGCTCAAGCCAAGGCTAACTTCCAAGTTCAATCACGTTGCTCAAGGCCTTGTCCAGTCAAGTTTTAAAAATCTGTAAGGATGGAGACTCCACAAGTTCTCCTTGCGACCTCTCTACTGATTAACTACTCTCTAGCTAGATAAAGGGAAAAAAATAAAATCAGAGTGAATTTCCCTTGCAACTTGTTGACCGCTGCCCCTCGTCTTCCCACTGTAATGAGAATTCTGGCTCTCTCTTCTCTCATCTCATTCTCCTTTTTAGGTAGTTGAAGACAGCAGTTAGATGAAGCTTAAAGCAGCTTCAAATGAAACTCGGTCTTTATAAATAATAGTTTCATATAAGCTTGAATTTATTTGGGATGGTCAATGAAAGTAACTGCTTTTGCTACAGTGCAAGGTAAGGTAAAGATTTTCTTTGAAATACAGCTGTTAGCTAAAACCTACCTCCTTAACTATGTTGTGCGCCTCATCAGCATTGAAGATCATCTGTAATAAAAAATAATTATTATTATTTCCGATAGAAAAGTAAACAAATGATGCAGTTTTCCTCTAAGTAACATCTAATGATCAGGCGCCGTGTCTGGTTATTTGCATTGTGTAGTCTGTTAGTATAATTCTAAAATCGTACTTTTTTCCCCAGCACCATACATATGTTATTTAGTATTGTTTTGCCAGTCGTATTTCAGTGGGTCCAAAAAGCCTGGGCCTCAGTTCAATTTACACTTTCTGTAAAGATTAAATTCCACCACTGTCTATGCTTGTCATGGGAATATTCTCCAAGACAAAAAGTTAAATGGCAAATCTTTTCTTCTGGGTCTTAATCCTCATTTTTAGTGGAGTCACGGACTTACTAACCCGTGGGCAACATCTCGCTGCCAGATGGTAACACAAGGTTTCACAACCCGAGTATCAAAAAGACGGGTTTCCATCATCGTTAGCTTACCCAAGTAACTTTCTCAAGTGCTGAAAAAGCGTGCAAGTTTCAATGCCTCCTATTTTCTGTGCATTCCTACACGCCAGCGTTCAGCTCGGCTTCCCAAGGAAGCGCAGCACGTGCCATCGTGCCATCTGCCTCTTCACATCCATCCGTTCCAAACACACGGGCAAGGACAGAAACCTCAAGGACAATAACGTTTCTACGAGTCTGTATTTTTTTTAATGAAAACTGAGACCCGAGGACCCGAAGTAAGGCCCGCTGGGGAGGGAAAGGGTCCTCAGTTCTGGCAGGCAGGGACCAGCCTGCAGCGCAGACCGGGCATGGTTTGGTTTGGGTTTTGGTTTTTTGGTTTTGGTTTTTTTGTGGGTTTTTTTGTTTTGTTTGTTTGGGTGTTGTTTGGTTTGTTTGTTTTTTTTTTTTTCCCAGGGGTGATATGAGAAAAATGGCCGCAGACTGACAGCACGGCAGCGGGCCAGCACCCCCGAGCGCCGCCTCCCCCTTCCCCTGCAGGAACTTTTAGCTCCGCGCAGCGAAGCGGGCCCACCCGGGCGGGCA